ATAGGATCAAGATTTTGTACAAATATACTTTTGGTGCTGATGAAGTGGTTTAGATCATCACTTGAGACTGGTGGGGTAAATAAACAGCACAGATATGAAGAGAGTAATTTGGCATTATGTCTAAAGTAATCCATAAATCTTCACAAGAACTTTCTAAGGATGTATTCGTTCTAGCCTTTATATTTCTCTTTACTGCTATTAAAACGCGACCACCTTCCTTTCTAGTATAGAAGGTATTGACCTGTCGATCTCTCCTGAATACCTGATACCTACTGTCAAATAGCTCCGTGCTAGCCACAGAATCGTTGAGCCATGTTTCAGTGAAAATTATTATATGAAAATTTCTTGACAGTACATTTTTATATATACTTTGCAGCTTAGTCCTAACACCTCTAACATTCTGATAGTAAATGTTTAAATCAGAGTGTGTAAAAGATTTAAATTTAGTACAAAATTAGATAATAAATAAAAAAAATTAACTGAGATTTTCCAGTGCTTCCAATCTTGTTATTACCCGTGCTGGTGATGTCTCATTTTTGCGCACAAAAATTTTCCCATTACGCACCCAAACAAATTTGTATTGTTTCTCTTTTGCTCTCAATCTGGTAGCTGCATGTAACGCCTTGTTGGATGGAGTGAGATGTTCGTTAATGAATACTGGTGATTCAATGTCTCCATAACCCAGGATTTTCGTATTTAATTTATTTTTTGGGTTCATTTTATTGTATGTAAGTACAGCGCCTAAGAAGTTGTCTCGCTTTATTTTACTTGTTAGTTTACATACAACAGTCCTTGGCAGCTTGGATGAGGCATTAAGCTTTTGCACTCGGTTGCCGGATATAATATCAGTTTCCAAAATGGGAAATGAAATAACTTTCCCGATATTAACGAATGTGTTAACCAGGTTTTCTTGTCTGTGCTCAGGTAAGCAGTGGATTTCGACGTTTGACTGACGGGCAGACTGTTCCATTTGTGATAACCTTTCCTCTAAATCCCTGACCTTGCCAGTTAACATTACATTAGTTGTAGAAACGATCTTGGTATCATCAGATAGGACTTTAACTTTGGTACTTATAGCATCATATTGTGAATTAATAAATTTAATCGTTTCTTCAAATGCATGAATTTACTTTTTGATACTAGCGAACTCCTCATTTAATGTATCTCGTATCACTGAACGCAATTCCCTACGAATAATTTCTGCTAGTTCAGTACGAGATACACAGTCTTGGTGTTCAGTAGTGGGTTCGCTCTCTTTTTGACGCCTTACAGTAATATTTTGAGAGTCGTCTAAAAACTCGCTGCTGGTCGCCAATGTAATTGGAGTATCATCACTATTTCCTTCCTTACGTATTATTGACAAGTGTTTAATGGAGCAGTCAGGACATTTCCAATTTTTTTGCTTTTTGAAGTTATCAACATTCAAATTAACACACAGGTAATGATATCTTTTACCGCACGAAGATTGAGTGCAAGTAATTCTTTCTGAAGGTTTGATTGGTTTTTTACAACCGCTGCAGGGTGAGTTCATATTTGAAATAATAAATTTGTCAAAAATTATTCACAAAAAGTGTTGGTGTTTGTCTTGATTCGATCTTCCAATTCTTGAATGCGCTTCACGTTTAAAACAAGAAGTAGCCGCTTATACCACTGCGCTACTAAGCCGCTAGCAGCAAGCATGAATTTATGGAAGTGTTTCGAGTATTCTTAGTTATAACTATCGACTTGACCTTTCCTTTGTTTGTCAAGAATAGCTCTAACACCGCATACTACGTAAACACAATGTTTGCAATAAATATTGCCAAAATACACCAATTAATCCACGACAAAAGATAACACTAATACAACTGTTAGGTCCAGTAGGTTCTGAACGATATTAACGTCTAAATTTCACTTCACAAACTTTATTTTTGCACTGTTATTGAATTTATACAAGGAGCATAAGTAAACGTGTCCGTTTGGTACTGTTCTCGCGGGTAGAATGCGAATGAATTTTTTAATGAAAAAATGAATTTTAGCTTACAATTTAAGATAAATAGTAGTATATGCATCATGGAGGCTGAGCTAGTAGCAATATGAGAAGCACTGTCATACGCTGCGTCACTACCACAAGATAATATTGTGATATCGACAGACTCAAGAAGCGCACTCCAACACTTGGCTCGGTGCACCTTGGGTACACGAGGCACACCGATAGTCTACACCGTTCTGGATACTATACATGGGTTAACATCCAGGTCGAAATCGATAAAGTTGCAGTGGATTTCGTCTCATTGCGGCGTGAAATATAATGAGCGAGTAGATATTTGTACACGAGTAGTAACTATTCAGATTTCACTGATCATTCACCCGATCGAACTAACCTATTTGTTCTCTAAGCGTAATAAAGTCAAATCAGTATGGCGCTAGCACGTGGATTATAAAATGAAACTCTTTATACTAAAAGAAAACTAAATAAACTCAAATTCGAAATAAATATATATACATATCTATTTCGTAGAACCATAACTTAATAATTAATTTTGTCATTTGTGAACCCAATTGTATAATGAATAGGAACATTTTATTACAATTGGGTCCACTTGTATAGAAATCTTAGCTAATAAACACATTTCGGCTGCTTATGATTGTGCCGTTAGATGAATTCTCCAATACTTTATTTTAGTAAATTAGTAATACAATTATAAAAGAGCTTTAAATTTTTTAATACAAGCTCTGGCCATGTTTTTGATAGAATATTTTGTAAACAAATGTTTATTTTTTTGTATTTTAAATTCAATACAACGTATTTTTATTGATATTATTAGTGTATTTTAAAACTGGATCAGAAATTTTATTTTATATTCGTCAAAATTATGTAAATCCAGTAATTAAGAAACCTAACTGTTTAAAAGTTTATCTACTGAAACAAGATTTTTTTTATAAATTATTAAAAATTTTATAACTTTAAAAACTAATTCAAAAAAATAAGTAACGAATAAAATAGCAACTAAGATGAATCTAACTACTTCCCTTATAAATATTATGTAAAAATCCATCAAGCCTAGATTACAGATCAAGTTTAGGTTACAGAGTATAATAAGTATAATAAGTATGTATGTCTATACATACATACATACTTATTATATACACATTCACATAAACATACTCGAAAAACATTTCCCTCCTTCTGGCTTCTAGGGCAGTCGCGTAAAATACGCAAAAACGCGGCCGCATGGCGTCCTTGTTCGTTTTGAATTATATACCTACATGTGTAGGTATATAATTAAATTTAATGTGTATGAGTTTATTCTATTCTATATCATTGATAATGTATAGAAAAAATATATAGTCGAAGAAAAATGAATAAAAAGCTATAATAATGTAAACTGACTGATACTTTATGCACGAGTAGGTAGTGTAACTTATTTAATTTTGGTTCCTCTAAAGATTTCGCTTTAACAAGAATTAGTACAAAAAACATAAGTTATAGCCATTTTTACCCTGGAAAACTTTATTTTGTTTCAATGTATTTTATCTTTCAACATTATCTGCGCCTGCGATGGATGTATGTATGGCTTACAGCCATCGCCCTATATCTTCTGTTTTGTCCATATAAGTCCACTGCTAAACACGGTCTTCTCCCATTGTAAGGAGGAATTCTGTACGGTATTCTATCCTAACGTAAGTTATAAAATAGTCAAGTAAGTAATAAATGGCCTAACGTAAGTAATAAATAGCCTAATGTAAGTAATTAATATCCTAAGAAATATTAATAAATAATTAATAATTATAATAATTAATGAATAATTAATATTAAGACCTAGCTACTCGTAAGAAATAGCTAACCTAGCTAAAATTCGAAAAAAAAAGTGGGAAATATCCAACTTGGTCTACAGATTTTAATAAAATCGTTGGCCTAATACCTACCGTTTCTGTAAAGTACCGTAGTACGTATTAACGAAAAACTGTCACATTTGCCATAAAGAAAAACAAAATTAAACATTTCTAAAAACCTTCCTATTAGGCCTTATTTCACTATGGCAGGGTAATAAAGCCTACTGCTTTAACTAACCCAAATAATCAAACTATACTATACATATGTAATCAATAATTACATAAATGCAGCAATTAAGACTTAAAGTTGTAAAAAATATAAATTCCCTCGCCTAACAGCACTGAAACTCATTAGTATAATGTTAAACAAACTGAGAAACAAACGCACTCCTCGTGATTATCATCAGCGTCACCTTAGAGTGTAAACCTGCTAAATCCATTTTCTCTCACATACGACATTTTGATACAGTTCGAAAGATAAAAAGACGCTGCATCGGCCAAGTAAAACAACTATATCAAATTATGGCCGAAACTATCGGAAAATGTGCTATGAGTAAAACTGCTAAATCCAAACAATACAAATTTCGCGGCTAACTCCAACGTCGCCGCCATTTTGTATAGTGTCTGCCGCCAGCTCACTGTTCTACTACAAAAATATTTTGTTTGGATGTGTATACTGTGTTGTTGGAATATTTTATAATAGTTATTGTGCAAAGGTAATACTTATCATCCTTATTTAGTTTTATTTCTTTTGGAATTTATTGACAACTAAATAAAACATTATCGTTTTAAATTCATAACATTAGACGTTCGTTATTATGGGAGTTAGCAGGTTTTTTTTCTAAAGACTGAACCTTTTTGGGACTTGTAATTTTCGTGTTGTTGGAATAATATTAATTTTAGTGATAGTTATTGTGGAAAGTTAATACCTATTAAATTAATTCAGTTTTATATGTCCTTTTTTTTGGGATTTATGGAAACTAAGTAAAATTATCGTTATAAAATTCATAACATTAGACGTTTCGTTATTATGGGAGTTAGCAAGTTTCTTTTCAAACGGGTTAGAACAATTTTGCGACTTAGCAGGTAACTTGTATAATCTACTTTAAATGTTTTCAGTGACTTTTATTACAATTTATTAGCAAAATTATTATTTAAAAAATATTGACCACTGCTTGTTACAGATGTCTTCCTATCAGCTTTGGCGAGCTAAAAAGATAATTAACTTACTCAAGGAAAACAATGCAGAAAATAAATGTCAAAATTTATCACCTGAGAAATCTCCTAACAATGAAATATTATTATCAGATGTTGAAAATATAGAATTTGAATATCTTAATATTGACTTATCTGACACACTGGAATTACCTACCTTACCTGAAAATTGTCAAATTGTACCTATAACTAAAGCAACAGAGGAACCCATTGTTATTGAAATGACTGAACCTAACTTACTTGAGACTATTAACTATAGTAGCATTACCCCGTCCACATCTGTTACTAGCCATAATAATGTAGACAAAGAAATCAATAATGACAGAGTTTTGATTTCTCCGAACCTGTCATTTGCTGAGAGTAACGTTCACGGCGTTCAAGATTTAAGTAATGAAATAGGCAGTCAAAATATGGATTTACATGAAACCTATGTTCAAGATGGTGCGAATAATATAGAAGATGGAAGCGACCACGAAGGCTTAGTTCCTTATGATATTCATTCTGACTCTATGTCTGATAGCGATTATCCAGATAAAAGTAAAAAAAGAAAGAAAAGAGCACAAATACAAATGTCTAATTGGTTTGCAGAAAAAAATAGAAAGTTAAGAGAATCTGGAAAAAAATATTATGGCAGAAAAAGGAAGAAACATGGAATTACGAAATTCCGAAAGAACCACGAATAATAAAACAAAGGTGTAAATGTAAACAAACTGAACATGGGATTATTAAGTGTTCAAGTTTTACAGAGGAAGACAGGAAAGAAATATTTAAAGGATTTTGGAGCATGAGTTGGCAAGAGAAAAAAGTTTACGTCGATAGTCTTGTAACATCATTGCCAATAAAAAGACCACGAGGAAGGAAAGAAAATAAAGAATCTAGAAGAAGTCAATCTTTAGTATACTATTTAAAAAAACAAGACGAGCGATTCAAAGTCTGCAGGAAAATGTTTCTCAACACTCTTGGTATTGGCAGGTGGACTGTGCTTAGTTGAAAAAACAAGCAATTAAATGGCACAAAACTAAATAATGCCACTAGAACTCGACAAAGAAGGAACGACGACGAAACCGAAGTTTCTTCTTCTAAGCCTTTTGCCAAAGAACGCCTAGAAATGGACAGTTTTTTCGATTCATTGCCTATTATGGAATCACACTACTGTCGTGCCAAAACTCAGAAAAAATATTTGTTACCAGAATGGAAAACAAAACAATCTCTTTACAAATTCTACCAAGACGATCGGTGTAAAAGTCGTGATGTGAGGCCTCTATCTATAGCAACTTTTTACGAAGCCTTCGACGCCAAAAATCTAGGATTATATTTCCCAAGAAAGGATCAATGCAAGAAATGCTCTTTGTTCAAAGTTGGAAATTTATCGGCAGAAGAATATTCAGAACATCAGCAGAAAAAAGAAGAAGCTAGAATTGAAAAGGACAAAGACAAGAATGAAGGAAAGATTGTGTTCACAGTTGACATGCAAGCAGTTGTGATGACACCAAAGTCAAAATTAAGTAGTTTGTAATAACGTAAACGTAAACGTAAACGTAAGTAGTTTGTAAAATAATAAAAGTAAAAGTGTTCTGTAATTACAGAACAAAACTCCAAGTACATAATTTGACATTCTTTAATTTAAAAAACAGAGACGGATTTTGTTACTTATGGAATGAAACTGAAGGAGGACTAAATTCTGAAGAGTTTGCAAGTGTATGGGTTGATTTAATTGATAAAAGGATTTTATCACAAAGTAGGTCAGCAGAAGTACTTACAGTAATTTTTTACAGTGATGGGTATACTTACCAGAATAGGAACTGTGTGATGTCAAATGCTTTGTTGTCCACAACATAATCATTGAACAAAAATTTCTCGAGGTTGGGCATACTCAAATGGAGGCTGATAGTATGCATTCCACTATCGAACGAGCACTTAAGAACAAAGATATCAATGTTCCTGCAGAATATGTTGGAGTCTGTAGGTCAGCTAGAAAAAAAAACCAAAACCTTATGACGTAACCTACCTTAGTCATAAGTTTTTCAAAAATTTTAACGACGTTCAGTTCTTTAGCATTCGTCCTGGTCGTGGTATAGGTGACGCTAAAGCTAAAGCTCTGCGCTACACACCAAGTGGTGAAATATATTTCAAATTGAGATTCCCTGATGAATGGCAAACAATTCCGCAAAGAAAATCGTCGAATGTTGTTCCCTTGCCGTTCACTCAGCTTCGAAATCTCCATGCAACTAGAAGAAAGATTACTGCCAGAAAGTTTGAAGATCTGCAATATTTAAAAAGATCACTTCCTGAGGATTACCGTTCTTACTATGACAATTTACCCCATGACTGAAAAATTACAGTGGATAATATTTTAACGTTCCTAGTTACATCAAGTACCTTACCCACCTTAATCTTATTAAATAATGGAAAGATTTATCAACACAATGTATTGAATTGTTAAATAGTTTTTTTTTGAGTTGCAATGTTACTTAGATGATTGTTTTGTTTTATTGAAGTTTATTTGAATTTGAAGTGCATTTCTTAATTACACCAATTACATTTATTTTTTATTACCCAAAAACCCTGCTAAGTCCATCACAATATATTCAGAACACATACAAAAACCTGCTAAGTCACAAAATCGCATATAAAAGAGCAGGTTTAGTTATTTTTTGGTTTATTTATAAAAACTATAATATAATATAAAATATTATTAAAATAAATCAACTTTATTTTTGTTTTGTTTCCTAAGCAGCAATTATAAAAAAACATATTAAGTTTTTTGTCTGTCCTGTAAAATTTACTTCAAGTGTTAGTTAGTTTTTTACTCTAAGGTAAAAACAACTATGTCTGTTGTGTCTCGAGTGTGTTGAGGTTCCGTTGAACGTTGGGTCGATTGTTGGGTTGATTGTTGGGTCGATTGTTGGGTCGATTGTTGGGTCGATTGTTGGGTCGATTGTTGGGTCGATTGTTGGGTCGATTGTTGGGTCGATTGTTGGGTCGATTGTTGGGTCGATTGTTGGGTCGATTGTTGGGTCGATTGTTGGGTCGATTGTTGGGTAGATTGTTGGGTCAATTGTTGGGTCGATTGTTGGGTAGATTGTTGGGTAGATTTTTGGGTGTATGGTTTGGTAGATTGTTGGGTTGATTGTTGGGTCGATTTTTGGGTCGATTGTTGGATCGATTGTTGGGTCGATTGTCTGGTCGATTGTCGGGTCGATTGTCGGGTCGATTGTTGGGTCGATTGTTGGGTCGATTGTTGGGTCGATTGTTGGGTCGATTATTGGGTCGATTGTCGGGTTGAGTGTTGGGTTGGTTGTTGGCTCGGTTGTTGGGTCGATTGTTGGGGTCGATTGTTGGCTCGATTTTTGTCTCGATTGTTGGGTCGATTGTTGGGTCGCTTGTTGGGTCGATTGTTGAGTCGATTGTTGGGTTGAGTGTTGGGTCGATTGTTGGCTCGGTTGTTGGGTCGATTGTTGGATTGATTGTAGGGTCGATTGTTGGGTCGATTGTTGGGTAGATTTTTGGGTCGATTATTGGGTCATTCGATTGTTGGGTCGATTGTTGGGTCGATTGTTGGGTCGATTGTTGGGTCGATTTTCGGGTCGATTGTTGGGTCAATTGTTGGGTAGATTGTTGGGCCGATTGTTGGGTTGATTGCTGGGTCGATTGTTGGGTCGATTGTTGGGTCGATTGTTGGGTCGCTTGTTAGGTCGATTGTTGGGTCGATTGTTGGGTTGATTCTTGGGTTGAGTGTCCTCGTCCCAAACAAATTTTTGTCACAGCGGCTAGTCTCCACGGAGACTAGCCTATCTGCACAGTACAGATATATAGTGTCCGAATGTACATATGAGTTAACACAGGTGCACCCTCTATTCCCTCACAATGATCAAATAGCCATCCGACACGGTCCGAGAGAACTTAGGCGCAGAACCAATAATTTACACATAATTTAGTAGCTTCTAGCCTTCTTCAACACAATTTGTCTTTGCACGCATACATCTTGTAGAGGGATATTGCACTTGGCGGATGGTAAAAATGGACTTATCTTCTTCGGCGGCTTGTAGTGGGTTTTAATGGAAGCTCGCTTCAAAATGTTGCCAATTTTCATCATCTACAAGATGCAGGAGTGTACAAGATTGATTGTGAATGTGGTCTCTCGTACGAGGTACGTTATAGGACTTTTGAGCCCACGTAAAAGAAAATATAGCTAACGTGAAGCAACGACGTTCTGGGTAGTCTGCAGTCTGTAAACATGTTCAAGATCGACACTGCATAGATATAATAGACCACAAATTCTCGCATAAGAACACCGATTAGCACCTAGGATGGTTTGTGAGGCTATTAAAATTTGAAAAAAACATCCTAATTTCAGTTTTTCAACTTCATTTTGCGTGTATTTGCGTGTGGTAAACATGTAATCATCTCATAAATTTGTAACGGAGTGTACGATCGAAAAGCGGTTCTGAAATGGCCTCGCTGAACTTATATTCCCTGTGAATTTAGACCGAATCGGCATGGTACATTCTGAAAAACTTCAAAGCAAAAAAAGCTCTTCTACTCAAAACACGATGTCAATTGCTGCAAACCGCATCTAAATCAGTTGAATCGTTCGAGAGATATTGTTATATAACAATACTATCCTGAACGAAATACGTAAAATTTGAATTTTTTTTTAAATTAGCAGGAAATTGCAAAGATGGCATATAGGGTCAACCATATTTTTATAACAGACCTAAGTATGGTGTATTACTGAACATTGGTTAAAAGCTTAATGTTTAACTTCAGTAACCACCAGGTGGACAGTTCGTTCAATAGAGAAACGGTTAAGCTTCCAGAGCTGGATAATTTTCCTCAACTGACATTCCAGGATCTAATTCTGTTTGGTCTAGGAATTTATCAACTAAAACAAGTTCCTAGTTATTACGGGGAGCATGTCAGGACCTCTGGAGAATATAAAATCGAGGTATACCTGCAATCTGTACATTATTTTGGTCCAAATAGTTATATAATGCGAGGTAGGATACAATCAAGGCACACTAGTAAAAAAAACTCCTACTCCCTAGGCGTAGTACCAAAATCATGGAAGACGGCTTTCGTTCACCTGATCCCTAAAAATGGCGACCGCTCAGACACGTCTAACTACAGTCTTTCAATCACATCCTTGTTCTCTAAGACAATGGAGTCCATTGTAAACTGCCAGCTCATGAGGTACCTTGAGGATCATCAGCTGATTAGTGATCGCCAATACGGTTTTCGCCGTGGTTGATCAGCTGGTGATCTTCTGGTCTACCTAACTCATAGATGAGCGGAGGAAGTAGAGTCCAAGGGGGAGGCATTGGCCGTTAGTTTGGACATTGCTCTCTTCCTATGGACTTCCCGAGAAATTGTGCAATTGGATCACCAGCTTTCTTGCAGATTGGAGCACCAAGGTCGTTATAGACGGTGCAAGCTTCGATTACAAGCCTATTAATGCTGGTGTTTCACAAGGCTGCGTGCTATCGCCAACGCTGTTTCTTCTGCATATCAATAATATGTTGCAAAGCCGTAACATTCATTGCTATGCAGATGACAGCACTAGTGATGCTCTGTACGCCGGTAAAACGTCTCCGAGTAGCGGAACAAACTTCTGTCTGAATTCGAGTCTTTGCTGAACAGTCTCGGATTGGGGGCGACTGAACCTAGTCCAGTTTAACCCTCAGAAGACACAAGTTTGCGTGTTAACCGCTGAAAAGAACCGTTTTGTCGTATCTCCTCAGTTTCAGGGCACTCCCCTTGTTGCCTCAGCCAGTATCGGAATCCTCAACCGGACATATCAAGTGACGTGCAGTTTCGTGGTCACTTGGAAGAGACGGCCAAATTGGCCTCTAAAAAGCTTGGCGTGCTCAGCAGAGCGGGACAGTATTTCATGCCGGCACACCAGCTGCAACTTCACAAGGCGCAGGTTCGGCCGCACATGGAATACTGTTCACATGTCTGGGCTGGGGCTTCCCGGTACCAGCTCCTTCCACTTGACCTCATCCAGCGTAGAGTGGCTCGAATCGTCGACGACCGAGTGCTTTCTGATAGGCTCGATTCACTGGCACTGCGAAGAAATGTTGCATCTCTTTGCATTTTCTTTCGCATATACCATGGGGAGTGCTCTGAGGAATTATTCGGATTAATCCCAGCCGCCAAATTTCATGAACGCACTACGCGGCAAACGTCCGGATACCATCCATTTATTGTGATTGTGGATGCTTAGCGGTGCACCACTGTACGTTTTACAAGGAGTTTTCTTCCGCGTACGACCTCTTTGTGGAATATCTTACCACCGGCGATTTTTCGGACCGATAAGATCTGGGGACCTTCAAGAAAAGAGCTTACTCCTTTCTAAAGGGCCGGCAACGCACCTGCAATTCCCCTGGTGTTGCGGTTGATCATGGGCGGCAGTAGTCACTTAACATCAGGTGAGCCGCATGCTCGTTTGCCCCCTTTTCTATAAAAAAAACTTATATACTAGTTGACACCAACCCATCAATTGCTAACACTAGT